AATAGAAATGTTTCCCCTTGATGAACGCCGTCGAATGTGTGTGTCGCTGAACTGCTCCTGCCTGTGCAGCCTTAGTTGTTCAGCAGATCCTGTCTCAACGGGCACTTACGGATCTGAACGAAAGCCCTGCATCTCCCGGCAATGCATTCAACAACTTACTGGATGCCTCGCGCACTGCCGGCGCTTCTCACACACGCCGAATCGCACAGTACCTCCTGTCGAGATGCCGCGATGAGTCGAAGGAAACAACAGCTCAGATTCATGCCTGGGCAGCACTCAGCGTTGGGATTGCGGAAACCTTTTTCAGAGGCCAATTGACCTGCGCAATCAACGCCCAGGAAAGCTCGGAGATTGATATCAGTCTTGTTAAAGCTGCCTTGTCATTAGGTTGGGGGAAAATGGGAATAGAAGATGTTCTAGAGCCCCATGCACTCCTCGTACAGGTCGTGAGAAGCATTGAAAAGAGCAGGCTGCTAACAGACTCTGACAAGAAACGGATCCAGAAAAACTGCTCTAGGATTGGCAAGGCGCAAATGCAACCATTTTGGCCATTTTATAAGGAACCACAACACTTGGATGAGGCCCTTCTCTCCATGTATTCAGTTCCTTCAAGGGATGACGGTGAACGAGGCCAAGGCGAAGGGGGCGGTGGCAACCCGGAACCCACTCCGGAACCACAGGAGCAATATGGCAGCAATATGCCCCCAGAAACTCCTGCGGGTACTTCTGAGGAAGGCGCAGGTGCGTTGAGCTTTTCTCATTTTGCTGCGTCTTCTTAAACGTCAACCCATCAAAGTGTGGCGTTTTCGAAAAGGCCCCTTCCTGTCTACACTCCAAAGAAATTGTTGTTTGTGTGTCTTATTATTCAGAACCAAGCGGAGAGCAACCTTATCCACGCGGGCAGCCACCTCCACCCCCTCCCCCAGTGCATCGAGAAAAGCCGCCTCTACAGGCCGTGGAGGAGTCGCGCCCGCATCAATCAGTAACAGTACCAGTACCGCTAAGTGAGCACGGGGAGGAAACATCTCCGGATGAGACTGAGGAAGCGCCGATCCCTACACAAGAGAAACAAGAACATCCCGGCGGAAGCGAAGGAGAGCCTCCAGTGCCGCCACCTCATGTAAAGGATCAACCAACTGCAGAAGGCAGCAGTCAGGAGGTCATGGAAAACGAGGCTCACTCAGGCACTATGCCCATTGTTCCAGTGGTCCCTCCCAGACAGGCAGGGCGCCAACCATCCGAGAACGATCTTCATAAAGGCGAACCTCCCATGCCACCTCCGACGCAACCTAAAGAGCCCATTGCAGATCGAGGTGGAAAGCCAGTAGAACACTATGGAGGGCATCCTTCCCCAGTTCCGATCCCCCGAGAGCACACCAACGAAGATACACGCGGCAGTCAAGAGCAGCAAAGGAAACTGCCTACACGCATCCGGCTTGGCTCCGCAAGCGGTCGCTTGGAGGGAAATGGCCCAAAAGAGAACATACCGAAACTCAAGCGCTCTCCCTCCGATAACTTCAATCCCCACAGAATCGCGACGCCCAGACAAAGTGGGTCGAGACTGTACAATCATAGACTACTTGTAGATACAGGTTCTGGAGCAGCCCCCGGAGGTAAGGCTCCCGGGAGCTCGACGTTGGCCTCTCAGAGAAGATAAAGCCAAGGGACATAAATGACCTAATGGCACTGAAATAAACTTGGAAAACATTGTTTGCTTCTAGGACTTCTCTGTGGAGAGAGATGTAAGGGGGGTCGGAATAAAGGAGCATGCCTGCTTTTTTGACATGCTCCGAGTGACTAAATTCCTTTTTAATTTTGCTTGCATCTAAAGGACTGTGATTTATCCTAAGAGGGAACTTTTTCCGAGGAAAGCCGAGGAGTCTTCGACTACTTCTGCACAGGGAAACTCCTCAGCATCCGTGTATCTATTTGTCCTTCTCCAATTGGGTCAACTCTGTAATACCCATGATACGTCGAAGCATAAACTTGGTCCTGCAGGAAAATAAGACAGACATTCGATAGCTCAGATGCCATGGGCACAGAAGAAATGATGGATACGAACATATGCGAGGCAATCAGGGAATCGTGTGGAACAAATATTTGAGGCTGGCACCACTTTTGTTCCGAACATTATTGTTTTTAGCTTCGAATGACGCATTGGCGGGACTGGGCTTGGCACAGCTTTGTCGAACATTACTGTGTTCCAATATTCCTGAACATCAACCCTACATTGAGTTTGCTCAGCAGGCGCTGGCGCGAGTAGGAACTCTGGGAGGGACACACTGTGTCTGTGGCCGGCACAGTGAAGTCGTGGTAGCCCTGATG